TCCACTATGTTGCTTTTCTATATCGCTGACTGTAGTTCGGTAAATTGTTGTTGACCAAGTGATTGTCAGAAAGAGTTTTTCTCAAATATAATAGGAACCTACTATAATTATTAGTTAATATAATATTTTGTTTCACTTTTTTATTTTATTTTAATAAATAGCTTTTGTTTTATATAGCTTTTATTTCATTTTATATACACTTTATTTCTATTTTTTTAACAAAAATTTTATAAAACAAAAAAAAAAATATATATATATATATTTATATATATATTAGTGTTCTAAGCCAATTAAAATTTTTTAGCTCGGCTAAGCTGTTAGAATTTTATTGACTTAGCGGCTTAGCCATTTTTTTATAGAATAATTTTTTTTATCGCTATAGATAAATTTATTTTTATAGAAATATATACAGAAATATAAAAAAATGATATATATAGATATAATGATAGTATTAAAAATCGTTGACTAATACTCTATAATACATATCAAAGCTTTCTTCAAATATTTTAATATATAGATATAAATTGATTATAATTCTAAATACTAATTTAAAACCCATTCCTTACTTTAGTTCGTTTTAATGTTTTGAACTCTGAATATTTTTGTTAAAAATCTAATAACTTTATCAAGATCGCTGAAAGTAATTAGATCTTTCTAAAATATTAAGTTGAAAACAATTAAATTTTTCTAATATAACTAAGCCATCACAGTTTAAAAAACTTTAAAAAAAATTATTAGAAAATTTTTTTTCTTTACTTACTACTTTTAAATTTTATAATTTTTTAAATTTCTAACCTCAGATAGCAATTAAAAAGCTTGAAATTTTTTTTTAAAAATAGCAGATCGTATACCTGGTTTGGATGAAGTCTATTATGTTTATCAGTTAGTATATTACCTGCATCTGAAAAAAGATGTTTAGAGAGAACTGAAGTTGCAGGTATAGATAAGTAAATTCTTGCTTAAGATGCAAATAGTAGTAATGATTTTGCATATTTATGCCAAAATAATAGTGAATTATCTGTTTTATATTCAGGGTGATCCAAATCATATTTAGAAACTAAAAATAAACTATCATATAATTGCAATTTGACATCTAAAGATAATAAATGCGTATCAGTATCATCATCATCAAAAAACTTGCTCATCATATGCTCATATGTATTTTGAATAGGGTTATTAGAAGTAGTAAAAGCAGACAAATCAGATAAGTTTGTAATTTTTGTACGAATCAAATTAATTGTTTCTATTTTTTCTGAAGGACTTAAAAAACATAAATTTTTAAAGTAGAGATTCAAGTATGATGCAATTAATCCTGTTTCTTTTGGTTCATCCCAATGTTTTAGCATTGATTCATTTATTGTTTTACAAACATCTTGAATTTCGGATATAATTAGTTTGATATAAATATCATTAAGATATTGGATAAGTTTTTGAATAGTTGGGTACATCATCCCATAGTTGGATATTGACTGCCTCCCATAAATGTAATAGATTGTGCAAATGGTTGGAGAATCAAAACCAATTCATTTAGACATTGTCATTCATAATTATCTAAAAGAAGATCATCTAATGCATTACCATCATTTCTTACTTGTCGATTAATATCTTTTTATAATTGTTGAGCTAAGTTTTGTGCAAGATAATGAAAAAGTAAGAGCCGGTTAAAAAGCAAGTAAGTTGAATTCCATCTTGTGACAGTATCATTACTAATAGGTCGAAGTTCTTGTAATTTAGGATGTTGTTTTTTAAAATAACACATTAATTGATTATGATATTTGTCTTGATTATATAGAAAACTATTTAATTGCTTTGCTTTTGTAATTAATGTATCAATTTTTTTTAATCCATCTTTAATAAAAAGATGCAATGTGTGAGCTGTACAGCTAATATAAAAAATATGAAGTTGATTGCAGGCTTTTATCATCGCAGCTGTATTATCTGTTGATCCCCAAATAATTTATCTGAAATATTCTACTTTACAAATAAATCACAAAGAAAATCTTCTATTTCATCAGCTGTATGTAGGTAAGAGAATTTTTGAATTGTTAAAAGTGCTTGATGAAGAATATAATTATCTGAGAGCCAATGAATTGTTACTCCAATATAAAGTGTATGGAACTAAGTTCACAAATCCGTAATAAAATTAAAGGAAATTAGTATTTCTTTTATTAAATTTTTTAAATTCGTTTTACTAAACATAACTGATAATGAAATTTTTTGTTTTACTTGATTGAAACATGGAAACTGAAATCAGGGTTCACATTCATGTATCAAATCATGAAATTTTTCATTACTAAGTATATGAAATGCTTGCAAATTATCAATTAACCAAGAAATAAGTCGATATGTAATTCGAGTTTGTTTTTTCTCAAATAAAGGTATGACTTTATTTAGAGTTTGTTCAATTGTTGGTTAATTAGTTTGAATTAATGAAGATGAAGCTTTCGAATTAACAGGCTTATTAATTTTGATGAACCATATGTAAATATGATGCAAGATTGCTTATAGCAGTTTAAATATTAAAAGAATGATCACATTTAATTTTGCCTTTACTTGAACTAATTAAAACATTACATTTTCTTTTTTTTCAAGCCTAAAGGTATCAAAAAATTGCTTTGTTCATGAAAGTATTCTTTTTCGATCTAAAACTGTTTTATTTTTAGATACAGTAGCTGATGTTGAACCTAATATTTCTTCTTTAGCTTCTGAACTCAAATAATCTAAACTATTGGATTTTTTTTCATTTTCTAAACTTTCTTCATTTAAATTATTGTAAATTTGTGGTGAATTTGGTCGAGATATAAAAAAATCATCATCTTGAGAATCTATTAAGAAAAAATAATATATATATAAAATTTTTATAAATTTAATAATGATTTTATAACTAACATATTTTGCTTTAGCTTTTATAAATAATATAGATGTTTAAGATTAGTAACTCAGAAATTTTGGAAAATGGTTTATCAACTTCTATCTTTAATTGAGATAAAGTAGCTAAAATCTTATATCTTTAATTAAAATGTATTTGATAAAAGCATAAAAGAAAATTGTCATTGAATCAAATTTTTTTTAAAGCGAAGCAAAATATTTAATACTGGTAATTAAGAGTACTTGTTTTTTCTTGACTACGTTAATTTAATAGTTATTACGAATACGGTTTTATTTGAAAATTAAAAGGCTAATAAGAGGTTTAATACTTTTTTCAACAGAATTAACAATTTTTACAATCAACTTTTATACAGCTAAGTGTTTTTCTTTATTAGTTATCGCTATTCTATATTACTTTATAGAAAAAGATTATACTATTTTTATAATTAAATAAGCTATTTTTGCTTTATATATAGAACGTGATGAATAAATAGTGAAGGAAAAATAGTACAGTATTATACAAGAATTGGTATGTGAATAACAAGTATATTGAGTTAGTGAGGATTACATTTAGACAAATCACCCAATATCAGAATCAATTCTTTATTTAAAAAAATGAAAATCAAACGTTCTGGCTCAGTAAATTTTTCATATAAATATCTAGCCAATTAAATAAAGGATAACTGTTGTCCTTTACATAATCTGGAATTAAGTATTATTTATATTCTTTATATTATTTAACTTATTTAACTTTATCTTATTTAAAAACAAGTATCAATCTTAGAACCATACAATTCATTTTGTAAACAAGCACATAAAGAACTAATAAAAATGATAAGAAATTGGTGATAATAAATCATGATAAAGGTATTGTTAGATAAAACCTGTAACACTTTTATATATGGGTAATTATTTTTGAATCCAAATAAATATTATTATATTATATATAAAATTGGTCCAGGTTCAAAAATAATTACCTATATTGATAGTCTACACTTATCGTTAGTTAACACTATTAGAAATTATATTCTGTAAGGTGTAAACTTAATATCTAAATGCTTATTATAACAGGTTTTAAGCCTATGGGTATAACTTTATTATATCATATGTCAAGCATTTTATTTTCTATTACTAATATTTTTTTAGACTCAATAATCACACTAAACATATCTTGTATATAATCTATAATTTTCTAGCTAAATATTAGAGAATAAGCAAAAAAAACTAGTGTAGTTTAATCTTAATAATGATAAATATATTTTTTTTAATATTATAATTATTAAGCAAAGTTATCAACATATATGCCATATATAACTTATTTATTGGTACTAGTGACAATTAATGAGAAATACTGAAATAAAACTTTTTGGAATATAAAGTTTTATATAATTTAAAAGCATGATCGTGATTCATAAGGTTCGAAATTTTGATATATATTAAACTGAAAAGATACAATTACATAATTTAAATTTGATAAATTTAATATAAGAAATCTATATTTAATTTGACTAACGAATATATGATTAATTATATTAAGCAAATTAATTTTTTGGTTATTTTTGATAATAACCTTATTAGCCAGCTAATAAGATTACTAGCTGGCTAAGCAGCTAAGTGGCTAGCTAAGCAGCTAGCTTAATCAGCTTGAAACACTAATATATATTGATATCAAATTTTTTTTTTTTTTTTTTATATATTGGCAGCCTTGCCAGTATCTTTATTAGATCAAAGCTAATGTACAGTTATACTATAAACTATCTAAGTTATAGATCTGACATCATTCGGCTTCCTCTATAGGCATCCAAGTACGGTCTGTTTTATCAGTTAAGGCTATTACCCATACCAGAGGGCTGCACCAAGCTAGCCAGTAAAACCATAGCAAGATAGTTTCAATTTAAAGAGATTTTTAACTTAACTAAATTGGCAATTTTTTCCTTCTAACCTATCCTCTATTTTATCATGAACTAAACCTACTTTTTTATTAATAAACAATTTTATCTTCCTTCTCAATAAGGGGATATTGCCAGAAATCTCTTGTTTATATTTGTGTTTCCTTTTTCTCTTCTTCTAATTAAACCTGTTCTTTCCGATTAAAGACCTATTTCTTAGAACTTTATGTTTTATAGCTTTGTGGTCTTTTCCTGCTTCTTGGAAGCTTTTTCTGTGATCTTTCTTTGCCGATACTCTTCTGTAAGCTTTTTTTTCTTTAAAAAATCTTGGGCCTTCTTTTAGTCTTTCCGTTTTGTAATCTTGTATAATCCACCCAGATTTATTTTTTTCTATATTCTGAATATAGAGGTCTTCTCTTTTCCTTTTCTTTATCTTCTTCTTTTCCTTTTTCTTCCTGGACTTTGGTTTTCTTCCCAAAAACTTTTCTTGAATTTCAACAAAGATTCTCTGATTCTCGAGGATTTCTACAAAGATC